GATGTTGAAAAAATTGAAATGGCCCTTGAGAGAAAAAAGGTTCCCCACCCCTGATTTACATGCACACAAACCTAACACACTAAAGGAAAGGGAAAACCACAAAAAGCATAAAAGGGCCCTTTCTAAAACCAAAACAAAATGTTGTGTGAATGTGTGATGTATCTGGGACATCACATCCACTCAGCAGATATGATTAATGTAAACTGTGAGGAACATTGAAAGGAGGCTGTTTATGATTATTTGACTTGATTGAAAACAGACTTTGAAAACTCAGTAAAGTAGCTGTTTGATCCTGAAGCTTGGACTCAAATCTGATAAATGAACTGTTATTTTAAGAGGGAGGAAATATGTTTGGAGCCACAATTAGATGTACTTTATGTTTTACAATGCTGCCTAATATGGTTGCTTTCTCATCTTGAGCCTTGTAACTCCTCTACTCCCTCTATGTGCTATCAGAGCGGACAACAAGGAAGAAACGAACAGCAAAAGGATGCAGTTTAATGTCGTCCAACAACAATCCTTTCATCAACTTCCCAGAAGGCCTGCGGGGTGAACGGGATCCAATCAGAGTATGGATGCTAACTCACTGAAGTCATTAAGCTCATTAGAGCTTCATTATTTTGATTTGGTTTTGACAAGAAAATCCATTAAACCTCAATGGAGTAATGTAATCCTCTCAAACCGAATGCGGTCCGTAGACTCGGAGGTAAATTAATTTCAATTAAGCGTACAATTGGAAGACCCATACAACATGCTGCACGCCTGATGTGCACGTGAGTGTCAGACTTGAGTCGTGACTGAGCTGTGTGTGATAGAGACAATGCCAAATATTAAGGAGTGGAATTCCATGTTTTGCATTTAGATGACATACTGTATCTACGCCTCGCTGTTACAAGCCTGAGGCTGTTTGATCGGAAATATGTTATTTACCATTGTACTATTGCTGTAGGTCGAAGGTTAAACACAGACTAAGAAAATACGCATTGCACGCTTTCACAAAGCAACAACAAATATATATTGAAATGTGGGGTGATTGAACTACAACATCAACGCCCAAGGGGAAATCTTGTATGCTTATGGATTTGAACGTTATACATAAAGTGAAAGTCAGAATTGCAAGTACCGGTAGTGTAGGAAACCTATAGGCATAATTTGACATTTCCTTTGGCTTCAGTCATACATCGTTTTGAATAGTTTGTTTTCTTGTTTTCTTGGTGTAAAGATTCAACATAAAGTAAAGAACTGTATATA